CAAGTAAATTTGAATTATAAAAATAATGATGACTAAATCCAGTTACAATCAAACACTCAAGAATATTTCCATTCAGTAACTGCACTTAAAGATCAGTTGACTGCAACCTCTTACAGAATTTAAAGAACTATGACAAGCTTCAAAAAACTTGCTAATCTTGGCATCTACAGATGAGTTTCCAATGACAAATGTATCGTGTGACAATGAGTACAAGACACGATAATTATTTGAACATCCTAACAGTGTTATAATCGATAAAAGTAAGCACATAAGCAAATAAAAAATTTAGAACATAAGGCTTCAAAAGATGGAATTAGCAATATCATACCACATGTGCATCCAGTGGTGGCAGATAATTCCCACTTACAATATCTATCCAACTGAAGATCATTTTATGATAAACATAAGGCTTATGCAACATGCATTTTGCATACTCCCATGCTGCAGTATTATTGAATTTAGCTCGCATATCTGGATGGAGAGGAAGCAATGCAATATGAGGATTTGATTCATCTTTCTTGAGTTCAGATTCCCACCATTCATCCCATGGTGGAATAACTATTATGTCATTTCCCTGTAAAAAGTAATTAAGTACAACGATTGATAGGTATGTCATCATCTTTTTCTTCCTACAGCTGGATCCGTCAAAGTAATTAAGTACAATGATCGATAGGTATTGCACAAAAACTACTATTCTACGACTGATGCATTGCACAGAACCCATAAATGTCACGTCAGATTTTTTAAGTCAATAAATATGCCAAAAGTAATGATAAAATCTTGAAACTGTAAGAATTTCAATCTAAATGGCTCAACAAATTTTCTGTCCCTTCTGTGGTCTTAATGAAAGGGATTATTAGAATATACTCTTATGACTTTTTATGACAGCCACTAAATTATCTTCTCAACTGAATTCTATATTTTCATTTTGCTTTAATTAGATTTGCTGATATCAAGAAATCAACAAGGGGTTTGTATCCAGCTTGTCATCTTAGTTAATGATTAGCCAATGTGAAAATCCAACTGAATATTTAGTCTAGAAATAGAACAAGCACTAGACACGTGTATAGATATGAAAATATATAGAGTAATTCTGGCATGCATAGACATCTAAAACAATATTGGTTTGTCACTGGCTGAGTGCTACCAAGCGGTTGATGCAAGGTAAGTCACTTAAGATAAACCATAAGCCATGTACCTCTATTTCAAGTACAAGACAGAACTTTGCATATTGGTGTTGTTGATGAACTATCACATTACATATCAAAAGAAATAATTAGTTTCATTCTAATAATTCTCCCTATGTTAATCTTAATTGTACAAAGTCTCAATTAGCTATCAATTTTCTCAGAGCAAATTTATGAAGGAAAGGTCTTGGAATTGCTTGTTGTACATTCATAATGGGTACCAGCCCAATATCCACAGGATACTTGTTAAATACATCCAAATATTTCCATGAAGCATCCAACTCTTCCTTACTTGTCCACATGATTTGAAGTTTCAGATTGTCCAGACCAAATAACCATAAAGGTATAGGTATTCTTTCTCATAATTTAACTAACAAATGCTGAAATCATCTTAAAGAAAGTGAACTCTTTTCATTGTTGTTCTAAAAAGCATAACTCAAACAATGTATTTTAAAAAAAGTAGGCTTAAATGGTAAACTTTTTATTATTTATCAGGAAGGTCATGATGGTGGCTCTGAATGCATTTATGCACAGTAAAATGTCCTTCTAACAGTTCCACTATCACAGAATTTTTCTCAAACAAGACAGCATAGAACAAATAGGGTAGTTGCACTTTCACATAATAAGTTTCCAGAACATATTAAGAAAATCATGATGTTATCAAACTAAACACATGCCTATACCATTTCATTAAAATAGAGAATGATTGACATGGAGATCATGGTCAAACTTGGTGCGTCCCATCTGTGCACTCCATGATATGGCTCAGTTTACTCAGGTACAATTAACTAAAAGTTCAAAAAGACAATGGGAAATTTGTCTTGTAAAGATATCTAACTAAAAGTAAGATTCCTTACTTATAATCTTTTTGTAACATATATATATATATATATATATATATATATATATTTGAAACATTCAAACAGATAAAGCATGGAACAATTTTGCAATAATAAAGCAACAAATCGATCTAACCTTCCCATTTCCAGGACCTGATTCTCCAATATAAAGTTTGCCTTCTGAATCTTTAAGGCAAACTACAGAATGATCAGCATAAGTACCAGTGACCAACTTTTCTAAAGTTCCGAAGCCACCCCAACGCCCACGAATTTTTGATATAACCAGGAAGTCTCCTGAGTGAATATCATTAACATTGATACTTGAAATCCATGGTTGCGGATGCCCCTCAAATGTAGCCCCCATGTGCTTTTTGAGGAAAGCAAGATTTGAACTTTCAACCCATCCATCATTTGTAAACAAGGGAAAAACATCCCATAGAGCCTGAAGAGTTCCAATCATCCCGGATTCCAAAAGGAAAATTGACATTCCATTATGTTTCACCTGATTTCAGAAACAATAACAAAAACAAACTTAAGTAGAATAAGAGAATATTGTCTTTTATAATATGCATATGTGTGTGTGTTGTGTCACATATACATGCATTTGTGTGCACATATATGTCTAATGTAAAAGATAAGTAAACAACTTACATATTCATATTCATCTTCTCTCTCCCACTGAGGAAAATCAAGGGTATGTTCACTAGACAAAAAGTAGTAATCCCAAGTCACACGATATGGAGTTACAAAGATGTAAAGATCCACGCATGTCTACCTATGGGCATTGCTGGCCTGAATAAAAAAGAAAAGAGAACTGAGTAAAATACTCCCAGATAAAAAAGCAATGACACCTAGATCCTTCTTCAAAAAATTCCTTTTAGGATATCCAAGAGGAGGATCAGTGGACAGGGTAGAGGATTCCTTTGATATACAACATATGTCCATGTCAATGATTGTGCTGGTGGCCTATGTTACTGGAGGAGAAGTCTGATTTTAAAATGGTGCACCATTCCGTATGCCCAGATACCAACTCTTGCTCTTCTTCAGTTTGAGAAATCCTGTGATGACAAACATTGCAGCTACTTGCCCATGACTGATGAGGCCGACCATGATTAAATCTGTAGATTTAGTTTTCCAAAGCATTTCAACTGTCGGTGCTACTATAATTTCCTCTCTCAGCCATGATCTCATTTTTATCCCAATCGACCAATGATAAACATCCAGCTATGTTGCTCTACAAAAGTTTACAATAAGAATGGTTTACTGAATTATAGTGAACCTCCTAAATAAGACTCCAATGATGAACACTTGATATAAATCGATCATCAATTTGCCAGTTTGACTACACAAATAAACTTGAAGCAAATTTAGAAATGAGATACACATACAATCTCCATATAAGACTAACATTTATTAAAGTATCAAAAAGAACAGAATAGGTTGCATCTTGCTAGAAGTCCTAAAAAGGTGTCAACTTTAGTCATGTCCTGATGATGAAGCAGGAGTAACAACCTTTGTGGAGAGCCATCCTATCTATTTCTGTAGTTAATGTAACAGTAAATCCAAATTAAGTAGCAACAAAGAAAAACCCAATAAAAGCTGCCTAAAGTTAAGACTTCAAATGAGGTTCTGAGTGAAAGATTTTGTTCTACGGCACACCGTAAAAGAAGAAATGCATTCAATACTCATATCGGGCATTTTCCAAAGCCTCATTCTGGAAAGTAAAGTATGTCACCGATTGTTCAAAGCTCACTGCAATTCAAGCATTAAACTACATAAGTTTGTTAATTTCACACCACCAAAAAGAGAAAGAAGACACATCTGTGCAGCAAAACCAAATGACACAACTTACAACATAAAGCCAAATGTATCCCACAGGAAAGATTTATGTAAGTCAAATGAAAATATCATGTACAAAATTGTTAACAAGAATCTCCATCTCTACATAAACCAAACAATCAAACTTTCAGCATAACATCCAAGGTTACAATGCAAGAAGCATTCCTACAGGTCAAATGGAGAGACTCTAGAAAGGTTACTAATATACACCTTTGTCCCAATTGACTTTCGCAGGTTCTGGACAAGTGGAGTCTAAACATTAAAAGCAACAAGATTAATCCCACCTAACACCAAAAAATCATAATCTCAACTAAACACCCTAAACATCCAAAAAATAAACATTCTATAAGCCAAAAGGAAGATCCATAGGGTATCCCGCTTCTGAGGTACTTAAAAGAACACCTAGTATCCCAAAGTAGTGATATCTTTTATAAAATACTTAGAAAATTCCTACGCAAGCCCAACGAACCCACTTTCGAATAAGCACGGCAATACAAACCTAAGTAATTTTGCCTAATAGACCATCCAAGAAACCTAAACCAGAACCAGAAAAATAGCCTTTTTTTCAATGTCGCTGGGAGAACACTGCAAAGAGAAATTCCACATAATAATAGAAATTTACTCACACCAAAACATCCAAATGAAAGATCAAGAGATTTCCTTTTCAATTTTCAAGCAACAATGGCCTCCCTACCCAAAATTATTCTTTTCACCAAATTGGATACCGATGATTGCTGTATCAAAAACTGAGCTTCTACTGTTGTAGTCTTTCACCCGAATTCACTAGCTTTAGTCGATAAAAATCAGGGAAATTCGCAGTACATTTCAAGAATGACATACTGATAACTCCAAGAACATAATTTCCACCAAAACAGCCTTAAAACACCCACCAAAATAAGAATCTTTGTCCAATTAATAACTAAGGTTGTGGAATTCTGCAATGCGAACTCGAAATAGCTCTTCTTAAGAAACACTAACTCGATTTAATGATCTAGTTTACTCGTACAACGGATGAAATTTACTATAGACTACCTAGAACCTAATCCCGAACTTACGTAAACTCTACTTAGAATCCAACGAGCAAGGGAAAAAAATTCCCAAAAACTAGGGTTTTGGAGAGCGAGGACTTCGCTCTCTAGACCTTGATATGGAGGATGCCGCCGCCGAATCGGGACTGGCTCTTGTTGTGAAACTCCATCCATGCGGTGTTCTTGTAAAAGCATGCGCCTTTCCAGTTGAGATCGCTCACGGGGGATGAGGCTGGGCCAACGAAGGTGGGGAGGAGGTCTTCAGCACTGCGGAGCGATCGTAAAAGGGGCCATGCTGCTCTCCGCGGGAGGAGGGGAAGCAAGTCTATCGGGCCGAAGGGGGCCTTTCAAGAGGGCTCATTGCCCCACTTTCGAAGAACAGATGCGGAGGCGATTAGGAGAAGGAAGAGCAGAGGGAAAGAGACCAGCTTGAAAGAAATCTCTCGCTTCATAGCTTTGGTGAAGAGAGAGGAGAATGGAAGAGGAGATTCGAAGGCACCGGAGAGAAGGGAGGTAGTATGTATACGTAGCTTATTGAGTGTAAGATGAACCCCGGGTAATTTTAGTTATCATGGATCAAAGCAAGATTCGCAATCTCGATCCAAATCAACATATTAAAACGGTATGTATCGAGGTGCATCGAGTGACACGTTTAAAATAAGTATAAAATTCTTCAAAAATATCTTTAAAAAAATTAAGATAAGATTTTTAAGTTAAAAATAAATATATATTTACTATAATTTTAATAAAATTAATATAAATTAGATAAGAATAATATCATATATCATTTTCGGGTTTTCAGAAGTAGCCTTATGCAAAGTTTATAATTGTGATTTATTTTCGATCATGCTTTTGTCAATATTAAATTATATAAAAAATTTAAAATATTATATTATTTTATATATAACTTAAACTTTAATATTTAAATAAATTAAATAATCACGTGTAGATATACTTGATTCTACTATTAGTCGTAGATGTCCTACAAGCTAAGTGATGACACGTACGACACGTTACACAATCTTTTTACTTATTATTATTATTGGTATTATCTCACTTTATATTGCTTGCTTGATATATTGTGATATTCTTGTATTTATGTAATGAGAATTGAATCATGATAATGAGAATAATTCGCCTATAAAAACAGACCAATATATTCCTGATCATAGGTTACTCGAGAGAGGCATCGAGATAGTTGGACAGATTAGTGTATTGTATACTCGTCCATGTGATGGAGGTGATTGGTCTCATAGTCACTCGTGTAGGGACACTATGGGTACAGTACAAGTGTTCATTAGATAATGAGTTCACTAATTGATTCACTCATTGAATACTAGATCGTTAATGATACCTCATTATCGGATAGTGATTATGTAATCCTAATTGTGTGTCTAGTCCTTAGACTTGAGACACAAAGGATGCCCTATATGAGTACTCCACTCTTTGATACCAAACTTATAGGTTTGGAAGTTCCAAATATAGTACAGTCGATCATCAAAGTGGTAGCCAACCTTATAAGAGCAATTGAGTGTCAATAGAGGATCATCTGCTCTCAGTGTCATGAGAGGAATATCCCATGTATTCTCGCTCAAGCAAATCTCTAGCGGGGTCATTCAGATTGAGAGAAAAAAGAGTTCTCCGAGAGAATCCGATTAGAGCGATACCCGATATACGGTCTCTGGGATACTAGATAGATGAGAGACTATAGATACATGGTAATTGAGGGCAAATATATCCAATGGATTAGATCTCCTTATATTATTTGTGAACTATGACGTAGTGGCCTAATATGTCAATAGTCGATGAGTCGAGTGAATTATTATAGAGATAATAATTCATTGAGTCAAAAGGAATTATGATAGGTATAACTCACACCAGCTCGATATTAGGCCTAGAGGGTCACACATATGGTAGGTGTTGCGACGAGTGGAGATTTGGATATGAGATATTCGTCGAGTTTTTATCTTATTGGATATCTAATAAACCCATATATTATTAAATCTTTTAAGTGAGACCCAATAAAAGTAAATAGTGATTATTGGATAAAGATCCATTAATCTAAGAGACTTAGTAGTTGGATAGAGATCTAGTACCCAATAGAGCAGGATCCATTAGAGTTAAGTTGATAGAGACCTATATAAATATGAGGGAATCAAAATAGCATATGCTAGACTCCTTTTAGTTGGCACCTCCTATTCTCCTCTCTCCCTCTCCTCCTCGGCTGATAACCCTATTTGGGGCGTGTGGACAACAAGAAGGGCTAACCCATTCTTGATCCTAGTGCAGTCTTATGGTGCGCAAAAGAGAGGAGAGAATGTGGTACGAAAGGAGGAGCATCATCGCACCATCTATAGTGTGGATCACTACTAGAGAGGAGGATATCTAACATCCTTCATCCATACATCTGGATTTATATTTTTGAAGATATACGATTTTCCTTAGGTAAATCATCTTACACGTATTATTCGATTATTTGGTTTTACAATTTTGCACACTAATCTTCGCATGATGATCTAATATTGAATCTTTAGGAACCTGTTTTATTTTTTACTTTTCCATCACGCATGTGATGCTGCCCTAGGTTTCCTAATAGTGGCATTAGAGTCAGGTTCATCATGCAATGATTGGCTTTAAACTATGTGTGTTATGATAAATCATGTAGATTTTTTTGTGTGGTTACTGTGATTTTTTTGTAGTTTTCAATTATGGACAACACTTCTCATTGTTAAAAATTGCTTTAGATCGATGTTTTGTTACCAAAATTATTATCGTAAAATATAAGAAAAAGGGCAGCAATTGTTGCTGCCTTACGGCTTGGCTGAAGGTTGCTTGCAACCTTAGCTGAGAGCTCAACATGCTGCTCTCGGCCTGGCCAAAGGCTGCTTGGCTGAGAGTAGCAAGTTCTCAGCCATGGCTAAGCACCCCATATGGCCAAGGAGTACTAGCCGCATGGGGAACCCTGGCGACTAGGGTTTCTTAGTTGCCTAGGTGATCCTACATCCAGGGATTCCTAATCACATGGGGCAAGTTAGTGTCCAGGATTCCTAGCCACCCATGTATATCCTTGCAGCCAAAGAATCCTAACTATAAGGGAGACCAAACATTAGCCACACAAGGCAGTCTTGTGGCCAGGAACTCTTGGCCACAGGGGTAAACCTAGTAGCCAAGGTTTCCTGGCTACGTGGGGCACTCTAGTATAGGGTTCCCCAAAAGTCTATATATAATTAATTAAATTAAATTAATTAATTATTATTATCTAGAAGTCATATATGATGTGTATATGTGATGTATGATGTAGATGGATGGTCATAGATCATATGATGATATATATGTATGATTATTATTGTTATTGGGGCTTGTGAGCCTCATTCTCTTTCTCATTTTTATGATTATTGTTATTGGGCCTATATGCCTATAATTATACTGTAATTACATGATGAGAGCATGGAGATGCTAACGAGACCCACAAGGTCAAGATGGATTATCACTGTGTATGGAGATACATCGAGGTGCCGATAGGATCGATAAGGATGAGATGGATGATCACAGGGCATGGAGTAACCTATGTCCATGGATCTGTACAATGGGAATCGGATCATGATGAGATCATAATAATGAGACCGATTCACCTTTAAACACAAACTCTAAATAATCCTGGTCATAGGTTACTCGAAAGGGATATCGAGATAATCAGACAACCTGGTATGCTGTATACCCATCTATATGATGGAGATAGCTGGTCTCATAGCTACTCGTGTGGGGACACTAAGGATACAGTGCAAGTGCACATTGGAGAATGAGTTCATCAATTGATCCGCTCACGTAATACTAGATGGTTGATGATGTCTTATTGTCAAACAGTGATTCCATAGTCCTAGTAGTATATCAGATCCTTATACTTGAGACACCAAGGATGTCCTGCATGAGTACTCCACTCTTTAATACCAGACTTATAGGTTTGAAAGTTCCAAATATAGTATAGTCGGTTATTGGGAGTGGCAACCAACCTTACGAGGACTATTAAGTGTCGATAGAGGATCATTCGCTCTCGGTTTCATGAGAGGAATATCCTGTGTGTTATTGCTCAAATAAATAATTGGCCAAGGTCATTCAGATTGAGAGAGAAAGAGTTCTTCGTGAGAATATGATTAGAGCGAGACTCGAAGAGAAATCGTATGGGTCTGACAGCACCATATACAGTATATGATCTATGGGATATTAGATGGATGAAAGACTATATGTATACGGTAATTAAGGACAAATAGGTCCAAAGGATTGGATTCTCCTATATCGTTTGAGGACTACGACGAAGTGGCCTAGTACGTCTATAGTCGATGAGTCGAGTGAATTATTATGGAGATCATAATTCACTGAGCCAAAAGGAGTTCTGACATGTATGACTCACGAGGAACTCGATGTTGGGTCTAGAGGGTCACACAAATATGGTAGGTATTGCGACGAGTAGAGGTTTGAATATGAGATATCTGTTGGAGTCCCTATCTTATTGGATATCCAATAAACTCCTGAATTATTGGATCCCATGGATGAGATCCAATAAGAGCTAATAAGAGATTATTAGGTAAAGACCCATTAATCTAAGAGGCTTGCATAATTGGATGGAGATTCAATACTCAATAAGGTAGGATCCATTAGGGTTAATTGAGGACCTCTATAAATAGAAGAGAACTAAAGACCCATAGAGACTAGGTATATGAAAGATTGTGTTTTACCTAGGGATATCGTATATCCCTGAATCTCTACAGATCTATAGGAGAAGATGAAGGAAGTCAAGCGCCCTCCTCTCCAGCGGTGATCCACACAACAAGGCTACGACAATGCTCCTCAAATCTCCAGGCCTATTATCTGAGGAGAAGGGGAGAGGAGAATAAGAGATGGCAACCAAGTAAAGTTTCATCTTATGAGCCTTTGGTTTCCTCGTATTTATAGAGGCCCCCTATCAACTTAACCCTAATGGATCATACTCTATTGAGTATTGGATCTCCATCCAACTACCCAAGCCTCTTAGATTAATGGATCTCTATCCAATAATCTCTTATTTGCTCTTATTGGATTTTATCCATAGGATCCAATAATTCAGAGGCTTACTGGTTATCCAATAAGATAGGGGCTCCGACGGATATCTTATATCCAAACATTTACTCATCGCAATGCCTACCATATATGTGTGACCCTCTAGGCTCAATATCGAGCTGATTATGAGTCATACCTATTAGAACTCCTTCTGGTTTAGTGAATTATTATCTCCATAATAATTCACTCGATTCATCGATTGCAGACGTACTATGCCACTATATCGTAATCCCTAGACGATATAAGGGAATCC